TTTGCATAAGTTTGAAGGTAATGCTTGAGATTGAACGTCTTGAGTCTTGAGGCCAAGTTGCTCCATTTGCCAGTGTGACTCATCTCGCTGCACTAGAAGTTCACCACGTTGAATCTGATTCAGAGATTCAGAACTATTGTAAGTGTTGTGTGTGTCTCAGTCTTTAGTGTGTTGTGTTCAATGTATTATTTAACTGATCTCATTGAAGTAAATTTAAAGCAACCAATAAGATCTGATAGAACTTTGATACATGAGGACTGCATCTTGCACATGTTGCACGACTCAACGGCTTGTGTTTTCGAACTTTGAATTATGATCTTGAACAACAAAATGCAACTTAAACAAATGGAGAAGAAGCTCAAATCCACAAGTTGCATCCGAATGGCAAGTACATGGTATTTTGCGTCAGCCTCAATCATACCCTTGCGGACCCTTGTCTTGAACGATGACGTGTCGAACTCCAAACTGATGGATGTCATGAAAGGCTTCTCCTCAGCGTCGTCTCTGAAAATTGAAGTGAACAAACTGCTTGGTTGTCAGCAAGACTAGACTATAATGATAGTTGATAGTGTCTAGTTAGTTGGCTGTGACACATGGCAGGCAAATGTTGACTGGAAACTGTGACTGCCAATGTAGGGTCCTATATATTTGTGTGAGCTTTCAACTACATATGCAGGTGATAGATAGTGTTCCCATCTCTTAGCCAAAGAACTCAGCTTAGAATTCAACGTGCTCTAAACTTTAAACTTTAAACATTGAATTGACCATGTGTGGTTGTTGTTTGTTTACAGCTCAGTCCAAACCAAGTGGTACTAGCTTTGCCCAAAAAGCACTCGTCACCCAATCACAGATTCCAGCCATGCCACAGACTGACACTGTTTACAGCCATCCTCAAGCATGCGGGAGAACAACTCACATATTGATGCACGAACCTGAGTCCAGTGTTACAGCAAGTTGACTCATATGACTCATGAGACATGAGTCCAAGCACACATTTTTTTGGTTGGCATCTGAAATGGTGTGTTCGACTCTCAATCTGAACTTCTGAACTTTCAACTTTCAACAGTATTCAGAACTTTGGAATTGGCAAACTTCAATCTGTCCAAAAGCTCTATCGAAAATATGATAAATGATATCGATTAAAAAAAAACATACAACTTGACTCGACCAAATATTGCCCTAGTTGCCTTGGCGATATGTGTTGTGCAAGCATTCAACCAGAAGCCAAGGGAGTTCAAGGAAAACATAGTCGGTGACTTGTTTTGTTGCTTGGACAGTGAAAACCGTGGTTGCGTTGGCGTTCTTGTAGAAGATCGAATGGCGCTCAACCGAATAGCGTTGCCAAACCTGAGTCAGAAAAGATGCAGGCGCAACCAAATCTTGGAGTTTGAGTGTGTGGGGTGTGGTATCGGTACAGATTACTATTATTGCTATGCTATATTATGATTTATGATCTATATTTCTTTATGAAAGTATAGCTTATGTCTAGTGTTTAGCAGGGTCTGTGCTGCAACAACCAGTCTCAGTCCGAATATGATTTCCTTGCAAGATAACTTAGCACACACACACACCACAATGCCACTAAGTATTAGCAACGAGTTTGTTTTTTTAGTTTTAAATGTTCTTCTGAGACCTGCAAGTGATATTGGATTCATAAGTTCATGAATGACACGATTTGCAACTTGTAATTCATGGTGAATGAACAAACAGACCTGTGAATTCAAGAAACGAAGCACGTAGCATCGCTTGGTGTGTCCAGCATTTGTATTTTCCTTTGCCCTTCACCCCTGTTTTCCTGCCACCAGCCCTGGATGTTGTCACTGCCCTGGCCGCGTCAGCTTTGCGAACAGCATGCTTGTCTATGTACTCGTCGACCACACTCCTGTATAGCTTAGGATTGCTTTAGCTGTTTTGCTATTAGGATTTTTGACTCTTTGACACAAATGAATAAGATGAAGACAATCTCTTGAAATACATTGTACATTGATCGCGACAATTTCATTCCAGTTCACAGCATTTTTAAATCAGGAAACTAATATGTACACAAGTCATGAAAGTGACCAGTTGAATGACATAGCAAGAAGAACAAGTCACACATACAATGGAACTACAACAACTAGATCCACAGTTATAGTTGTTGTATTCCAGCTTCAGCTGAATCAGTCCTGAATTGGCTCACCTTTGCATCAGCTGCTCTCTGAGTCTTGGCCAGCTGTCGACCTTATACCAAGAGAAAACAATCACCTATGAATGAGCAACAACTCCAAAGAAAACAAATTGACACATCTTGAAGCTTAAGCCTGAATTCATTCGTCAAGGAAATCTCACTCAAAAGAACTATATATGTAGGATTGCATTGTATAGGTCTTCTAGATTTCTAGATTCAATAGAATAGAAAACGATGTACAGTACAGAATGTCTCAACACTACATCAAATCTAACCCTCGCATAAAAACAACATAACAGAGCCAATTTTTTCAATCTGCTTCCCCAGCAGAAAGAGGTAATGCGACTTGCGCTCGATTGAAAGATCAAGTACACTAGGAGCACAGGAAGTAGCATCTGTCAACAGTCATGAGTCATAAGCATAAGGGCACCGACTTGAAAGCACACACTACGGCTCAATGTTCAATTGAGTTAGTTCTGAATCATACAAGTCAATTGGCCACCAATCTCCTGCTCCACTTGTCCTATTTCAAATTTCACTCAAGACTCGAGTGGATTGATGAAGCATGATTTCACCGCTTCTAATCCATTTTGCGTTTCTTCTTCGCCACCTCATGGTTGCAATCTCCTTTCTTGTCCTCGTTCTCTACATTGTAGGAGTTTTGGTTGTTGCAGGATCGTTGGCAAGAAGCAAATGAACGCTTCATTGGCGGAGTTTGCATCAAGTAAGGTGACTCTGACAGTTTCTTGGTAGAAGCTTTTGGTGTAGCAGCAAACGCACAAGAATTGGCATCAGCATCATTCTCATCCGCACCAACTGGGTCTTGATCTTCTTTAGCTTTGCGTTGGCGAGCGGGTGCTTGTGGTGTCAGTGGATGTGCATTCCTTGGGCTGGGGGTAGCCTTAGGAGATGCATTTGCATGAGGAGCCAAGACTTTCATGACATACTTGATGGACCCTGGTCGAAGATCTCCCTGGAGAGGCCATCCTCGTTCTAGCCAAACACGCCTCCTCCATAAGATATGTTCAGGAGTAGGTGCATCTTCAAACATGTATTTGGCTGGATTCCCTGGGCTGGGACCATCGGATGGCAATGAACTCATGGCCTTCCGTTCCGCAATGGTGTTTGGCGACAGCTCTCCGTCCTTCATGGCTGATTCTAGGAAGAAAGCCACGAAAGTGCCAACAACTTGAGCATACAAATAGCTGAGTAATTCAATATCCAACCAGGAGAAATATAAGTCATCTCATATCATATCTAGCTACTGGCCACCCATAGGTATTGTATTGAACTAGATTTGGAAAGAACAAGTAGAGAAACCACCACACAAGGTCTTGGTCTCCCGACATTTCTTTAGGAAGACTCCAGATCGGACACTAGCTTTGGGACGACGTTCTGCTTCCTCATCAGAGTTAGATGAAAGCCGCGCCAATATCTCATTGAATTCATGTGCCATGGCTGGCTGTGTTGGTGCGCCCCAAGAACAATGAATAAAGGTTCATTTGTTCTGTTGGGTAGTCACAGTTGTTGGAATCTACCTGTAGCAGTGTAGGCTGGAATGTTTAAAGTTTAAAGTTTAAACAAATACAAATAAAACTTTGCTTGGCTGATGTTGATGTTCTCACCAGGGAACTCGTTTTATTTGTTTAAAAAATATATATAGCATGATTGCTTTGGCCATAGTCTAACAATGCTATGTCTATGTGATTTGCCTTCGTCTGTGTGCTTTGGCTTTGATTCAGAAAAAACTGAAACACACTACCACTTTGACTTAATCTGATGTGTTGTTGTTGTTGTTGTTGTGGTTCTTGTTTATTGTCCGCTGGTGTTTCTTTGCTGTCATTGAGTCTGCAAAGCTCCCCCATGTCAAACAAATAAATGGCTGCAACTAAGTCCTGGAGCGAGTGTGAACTGGTCTTGCAACTTGAAACTGGTCTTTCAATGCGTTTCAGTTGGCTCTCTTCAGTGATTCTCCTTCCTTCCAACAAACCACTTTCACACGTTGACTAACGTCAACCATGCATTGTGAAATTATATAATGCATGAATCCATGAACATACTGTGGGAGAGAGATTTACGAGTTACGTTTTGTATTGCCCGACCCACACCAAAACTCTTTAGTGATTCAGAGTGATTCACCTTCCTTCCAACAAACCACCTTCAGGGTGGACTACTGTCAACACCATGAGTTATAAAAATATATGAATCTCTGGGAGTCTGAGTGAGTTACGAGTTGCAAGTTAGATCGAGTTAGTGTTTATTGTCCCGACCACACCTAAACTTGTGTGCTCAGTGCTGAGTGTTATCTATTTCATTCTGCCATGTCACAGGTGCACAACCATACAACTTAGCACAACCCACACATCGCCTTTCCAAAATGACACATCGCATGTCCTATCACACCGACTACCACACAACAGAGTCGTGCAGCGCACGCGCATCGCACAACCTATCGCACAACGCACTGTACACAACAGTCGCACACGCACAACAGACTGCACGTGAGAATCGTACATTGCCAAAGCCACCGCGTACATTGATCGCACATCGCACAGCTTGTTGCACACTGTAGTCGTGCATGTCCAACGTACTAGACGTGGAGTGATCACCAAGAATCATAGCTCACATGGCTTCTGAATTTAGATAAATTATTTGGGTGAGATGTTATTTGGATGAGCTCACTAGCCATCTCCAGCCCAAAGAAAGGATCCACACTCCCCTTTCCTGTCAGAGCCCATGCTACTGATGGTGGTTGTGAGTGACACAGCTTGAGGTATGCACTGACTAAAGGCTTCCGTAGACATTATTCTTGTTCAAAGCCACCAACAGAGTCCTCGGACAATTAGCTCAACATTGAGGTTTTTCATCTTCTTCTGCACGACAACCTGGGCGCGGGGATGTCGCAACTGAGGTTCCCACAACATACCAAAGCATGATAATGACATGCCCCTGATCGCCTTCTTTAAGGCAAGTTCAGTTGAATTAAACATACATCCGAGCATCATGGCCTAGCGATGCAACACTGCCGGAAGAGGTATACTGTTGCTCTAGCGTAGTAATGCGGCGATGTGTGTGGCCAAATTATCAAGAGATTGAGGCAATGACGCTGGCATCAACGTTCTCGATCAGTGCGTTTGGGATGATATCCTGAACAAAGACTATACAATGCCACCACCGTTCCTCCATCACTATTGACATCATTTGACATCTATTGGCCCTTACAAGGGGATGAGACATCAGGGAAACAGGCTCTGTGGCTAGCCAATGCCATCTGTTAAACGTCTGCCAGGCTTCATTCACCTTCATTCCAACCAGCCGCCACCAAGAAGGCCCACTTTCACCACAAACCCTTCACGAAGCATCACGAAGCCCAGGCGAACTCACTGAGTCGAACTCACTGAGTTCGCTCTCCCAGTCCTTCGTCTGACTGAAGGCCCATTCGCTGATCATGTTCAAGACCTGTCCCTTGAAGGGGATCAAATTCCTGGCTCAACAAACCGAGGTGCCACATGGTGTTTTTGTTGGCGAGGTGTGGAGTGTTGCCTTTAAACTTCCACATGTTTCATTGGATATGACCAATAAGTATATTATATATATATAGACATACACTGTATATGAAGGGTTCCATGGCTTGAACGGTACTGAGTGACCGAGTGTCGATTTCCAACGGCAAATGCGCGTTTTTATATATTTTATTTTCTCTCTCTCTCTCTCTCATTCAACTTTCGGTTGGCAATGACAAAGTTGCCAGGCGGACGGCAGGATGTAGTCGAAGGCAGACACACCTGAGAAGGCTCAGTTCGTCAGTTCCCCCGTTGTAGCCAAACATGTGTATATATATATATATAAGTAAAATAAGTGCCTTTGCAAACTGCAAAAACCGTGTCTCACATTGGATGTGGCAGCGATGTCAAAGGTCGAGTCATGTGTGTTATGCCAAGTGCAGGGCGATCGTTGGTCACCATGACCACGTTTGGACCAGAGAAGTAGATGCTTCGCACCTGTCAATTGTGAGAGCTTGGCTCTTGAAATGACAGATTCGGAAAACATGACGTTAGCAGCATCAGATCTTTCTATGCTGGTTTCTATCTGGTTCCCAAGCCTCAAAAGATCAGTCTTTGCAGCACAGGTCATGAATCTCCAATGGAAACTGCTCACTCACAAAGTCAGGCTTTCTGCATCACTCAGCCATCTGGTTTCTACTGTAGATTCATGACACCAAAGCACAGGGCATTGTCTGTAAACTTAGTTTCCAAGACAGGACAACATGCCAGGAAACTCTTGGAATCAGGACATCCCCCAACTGAATCGTCTCCAAGTCTCCCTTCCCAAACTCCTGGTCGATCCAGCAGATCAACCGGTGGTACTAGCTCCCCTTCACATCCTCTTCACTAGATCCCAGGTCTGGTAGCTCCTACTGGTGCCACCTGCACCAACCCCCCTGGCCTTGCCCTGTTTCTGATCTCCCAGTTCAGGCACATAGCACTCGGGCAAAGTGAGGTCCAGGTACCTCGGCCGTGGGCACATGCGTTCCAACATGGCGAATTATGATGATTGGAACAACACCAACACCACAACTCCTGATTGAGGTTCCATGTCATTCTGGTCTTAACAATGCATCATGGGCTGCTTTCGCGCATGGACTATGGGCTTACACAAAAAGCTGTCATTTGGTCCGCAATGCCATGTTATGCCATGTTCAAAGAGAAGGCTCCAACCTGCAATCTTGGCGCGGCTGATAAGATTTTGTCCTTAAAATATTTTTTCCAACATTAGATTACAACAAAGCCGCTGATCCGTTTGGGTCTAAGCACACACTTCTCTTTGCTTATCATTCTTATTGGGTGATCCTTGGAGGCAATCAATCTGGTCAAGCTACAATCACTCGCTCGAAAGCCGCCAACTAACTCCTCACCATTGGACTCCCAGGAGGTTGAAGTCTTTTTGGGTTGCTCGTGGACAAACAGCCCTCCAGCAGTGCAAACGAGACACTCGCGGATCTTGGCCTTGATTGTGGCTTCGCTGTTCACCTCAGCGCAGTCTTTCATTTTCAGTCATTCCTAGCTAAGGAACGAGGGAACCACTTCTGATTGGTGACAACGACGTTCAATGAATGCAAGATCTGGTGAGAAGCTCCAAGCCTCAAGTTGGCATCAAGAGTGAAAACCTCATGGAGTACCCGGCATATCCAGGCATCTTTCATGCGACTCACCGTGACTATTCAGCCCCTGAGCCACCAGGCTGCCATGGCGAGGGAAGGCAAATTGGAGGTTTTGAGCCACTAAATCCAGAACTCAATTCAAGCAAAGAGTCAAGCTATACTCTTGGGCCTTGGGTTACTGTGCACCTGAGAGGAAAAGCTTATGCAAGGTCGTAACATCAATAACGAAGCTCCTGGGCTAGAATTCTGTCCTTTTGAGGTGTTCACACTCCTATGAAAACCATACCATTTTGTACCCGACCTGTGCTAGATGTAGGAGTGCTGTCCTCTTCATCCAACTACAAAGTGCAGAACACCGTGATAGTTAAGGCTTGGTGATTTCAGCATCTGCTGGCAAATTGATACACTGACACCCACCTTCGGTCTTCTCGTTCATCTCTTCTGCCTTCAAGATGGACCTGAGAGTTGCGCAAAGCTCCTCTTTTAAGTCAAGGTCCCAAAGTCTCTGAAGCCCTGAAGGTCACCTGCTGCTGAAATGGGCGACCTTGACGCAACATATGACGGTTGTAGGTAGGACGACTTCCTTTCATTTGTGGCTTCAAAACCTGGAACCACCTTGTTGTGGGTGTCTAGCAGGCGGTTGCTGGATGGCTCTTCATTTGGGGTATTGAAAAACACATTGTCTTTTGCAATGCCTTATTGGTCTATTTTACTCTTATCGTTTTCTTAGGTGTTCGGCTCTGTGTACTAGAAATCTGAATTTTCCAGCTTTCTGTGGGTGTGAACGCATCCTTGATCGAAAGTCAACAGATGTCATCTGTTCCTTCCATTTCGCATTCATTTCCTTTCATTTCGCATTAGTTTCCTTTCATGTTCCTTTCAATTTCCTTCAAAAGGCAACATGCTCAAACCGGTCATGTGGGTATCCTCCCAAGCGCTTGCATTGTCATATGTTGTTATTGTTGTTGTTTCCGTTTTGGAGGCCTGTGCAGGTTGCCATGTTCAGGGTTCATGAACATGTACATGTACAAACTCGTCATCTTTTTTCTTTAATTATCGTTTTCTGGGCCAGCAATGCATTACTGTAGCAAGACTAAACTGCTGAGCGCGGGGTTATTTCATCAGCCCATTTAGTGCTCTCAAGGAGATACAAACTAGTCGAAGGACCCGTTCAGTTTTCATCAATTTTCAAAACCTGATTGATGCTTGATGGTTCGGTCTTCCCCCAGATGACAGATGATGCAACTGTATCAATCGGATCTCTCAAGTTGATGACCAACGAAACGAGTGAATCGCAAAGATCCGCAATCCACGACTTCAAATTTAAACATGACCAGGGTGGCCAATACAGTTAGAGAAACCATCATGTTGAAGACTGGCCCTACTATGCCCCGCTTGCCTTCAAGCAATGTGTCTTGATTGCTTTCAATGCCGCATTTACACATTCCATACGGTGAATGCTGAGGCCAACACTCTGCTGGTTGCAGGCGTGGAGGGCTGCTTCCTGTGGAAAGTGGCACCACCTCAGCACTTCGATTGTCTGCAAAGACACCTTTCTTTGACTTGGATCGAGTTACGCACATGGAAGTTAAATTGGCGGTTTGCTATCTTTTCCACATCAGGATGGATCCATGATCCACATTGGGATTTGCTGGTTATCTTGGTGAATCTACAGGGATTCATCTCCATCTTGACTGTTCGATTATATACCTAGAGTCATACCTACAAGGCAAGAGCTCTTCCAAAGGTGGTAGATTGATTCGATGGCGCATCAGGGTATATAATGAACTGCCGTAGCAGCTAGCATATCGGTCGGTCCCTTGCATCGTCTCTGAGGATAGCAAAGCCAATCAATGTTCGAAAGGAACACCTCCCAAGGACAACACAACATGACACACCTCTGAAACACTCACAAATGGCACAAATGCATACAAAATGTATTATATAAGTGTATGTATATATATATATGTATTATATCATATCAATGTCTTCAAACATCTTCAAGCAACTTGCGGGGCTTGACAAACAGTTCCATTCTCAGAATCAACCAGTCTAATTTCACCAAAAAAAACATTCGAAAGCGACATCTGCAAGTCCTGAGGCACCCCACCGCAGCATTGATATCCTGAACCCCAGAAAAGTCCAAGCGGACCATCGTTCGGACCGGAGAGCCCCCGAGCGGACGAGCTGGACCGGTCGCCAGTCTTCCCTTTTGGTTTTCTCAGGAGGCGATGCTCAAGGCTGCTTAGGAAAAGGTGAAGGACCAAAAACAGGTTAAGAGGCATCCAATGTTGGGCCACACGCCAACGATCTGAGGTGTCTTCGAGTCGCGAAGTGGTGCAGTGAACTTCCGTGCCACACAAGTCCTTGAACTGCGAATCGTCGCCATCCATCTCTTTCAAATAGTTTGTCATGTACTCGCCAGTGACCTGCATGTCTGAGTCCTGCGCTGTGGAGTTTTCAGAGTCATGACATTCTCTCACATTCTCTTTCATCTAACGGTTCTGACGATGCCTTCCTCCAACTCCAGGAGTTCCATGCCGAAACCTCCTCGTGACATGGCCCGGTAGTCCATGCCTGTTAGTACACCAGTCCCTTCACGCCACCGTGATACACCAGTCGGTGTCTCCATCACCACCTCCGGTCTCCTCCTTCTTCTCGCCCACGGTGAGGTTCATGGACTTCATGGACATGGCCATTGTGGCCGTCGCGCCTACGATGGTGGCGGGAACGGAGACACGTTGGGGTGTTCAACGCCATGACGTTGCACGGTGTTCAACACGACATGGGTGCCTCTTTTTTTCCTCAAGGGAGATGGACACTCTCTTTTCACAAGCTATGGCGGGGGAAAAAGATGGGAAAAGCATCAAGCATCAGGTGATGCATGATCGTGTGATCACAGGATTTGGGGCATCCTCCCTTCGGAGAATGTTTAAAATTCCAGGCATCGAAAGAATGAGCCTCTTGAAATTGCTGACAACAAGATCTTTACAGCTGCACTGGTTTGGATCTCGAAAGTTCACTCCTGGAAGTGAGCATTGATTCGACTCCACCATTTATATTTGAGATGATTCATGCTGAAGTCAGGTTGCTGCTGCTCTGTTTTGTAGCACAGCTTAAACATGTTTAAAACACCAACAAGTGCCAGTGAGTGGTGAGTGTGCACCGAGCCAAGCTACCCACCCTATGCATTATGCGTTCATCATCAAACTCCTAGCTTGCACTGACAGGCTTGCAATGTCAAACGACGCTAGAAGCACACCTGAGCCTACAGTTGCGTATGGTCGTGGATGGTGCATCTACTGTCTAAAGTCATCCTCAGAGTTGGTTGGTAGTCCAGAGAGTCCTCAATCCATGTTGAGTCAGACCGTCCCAAAAGCATTCAATGCCCTGCATTGTCCATCTGTTTGAGCGCAGCTTTAGCTTAGCCGTTCATGAGGAGAAGCTACCCCCGCACAAAACAACCGGAGTACCGATGGCCTGGTGAAGCCGTTGGTTGCCCCTTCTCCTTTGAAGAATCCTGACACACTTGCAAAGCTTGGCGAGCTCAGAGTTGCTCTCTTATACACAGTTACCCACACAGAGATAGAAATGGATGGAAACGATTCAACATATTTGATTTCAAACATGGGGTTTGTCCATGCTGAACACGAGTGAGCAGGACGCTTCCCTTCCTTCTATCTAAAGTATTTGGGGAGCACTCTCACAGTGAGTTTCCAATGATTTCCTCCTTATCCCCCCCCCCATTCGGGTGTGAGTTGAGTCTGATGGTCCAGTAATATCCAGCATTCATATTCTGAATACCTAGTAATTACAGGATGGCCGAGAAGGTAAACACTTCACCGTCACCAACCCTTTGGTATTTGAAAGCATGCCATGCCGCTTGACTGAGTTCTGAGCCGCTTGACCAGTCGAGCCCATCCTCGGCCATGCCGTGCGGGCGCATGTGGACGCACGTTATTCTTTTTCAGTTTTTTGGTGTTGGAAGAGAAAGACTAGACAATTATTGTTCCTAGTAGTACGGCCAGGAGCCCCGTTCGTAGCTTCTTGTTCCTACTGCATCCGAATTCTCGGCTGGACCTGGTTTTGTCAAAGAGGCTTGGGGAAAAGCATAGACCAAGGTTTGAAGGGACTGCATGGGATTCGCACAGAAGCAACAAATCGCCACAAGCAACATTGGAATGCGACGATCAAGCTGATTCATGTTTTATCGTATAATGTCGTATAACCTTCCCCAACACATTTATCTAGTAACTTGGGATAGTCATGCCCGCCCCCCAAACAGCAAGACACGATTTCAAACCACCACCCACTTTAGCAACGACATCTTACTGCCAAAGGCACGTTCCCACCTGCCCTTTGCCGGTCTTGCTCTTGAAGATGTCGGCGTCCACAGGCTTCACACGGCCACTCTGCCTGGGTTCGGGTCGAGTCTAGTCGAGAACTGTGAATGGATGACATCCTGATGGCCAACAAGGGGAAGACACACTTCAGGAGTTCCACTGAAGGACAAACATCCTGGATCTGAAACGATTCCTGTTCGGTTGGAACCCAAGGAATCCGTCTCTTTTTGTGGCATTTCTTCCTGTCTGTTTATGGAGGTCAACAACTTGCAGCTGAGCCACTCGGTGGGTTCCTTCTTGTGCTTGGCAATGAACGCCTGAACAAAATCAAGCGTCTGCGCCGAAACATTGGCTTTTGCCCTAAGACCTTGTTGAGCATTCGCAAACTGTGGGGGCTTCAAGTTCAAAGTTGGACATTCCTTACACAATCTCGTGTTACCCCGGCCCAAAATGACATCTCTTTTCATACAAGAGAAGTCTCTTGTGTTCCGCCGCTCTTTGAGCCGCGCAACTCACTCACCGGTGTCGCTCCGGACGCTCATGCCGGCCGCTGGCGTACTGCGTGGCCGGCGGCCGCCGCGACTCGGCGACGGTTCGGGAGCTCCCACGGCCGTCGCGGTCGTTGGACTGCACCGACAAGGAGTTCCGGGGCACGGTGCGGTTGATGGAGCGGGCAGAGGTCGAGGGCGTGATCATGACCACGTCATCATCCTGGGATGAGCGGATTCTGAAGAACTGTGGCCCCCAACCAGCCACCTTTAATCCTCAACAAAGTCCAAACGACTTCACAAATCGACATTGAGGTTTCGGATGTTGTATCATTCGGTTTCATGGGAACCTATGGGAATATTAAATCAAAAGAATGGTCTCTTCACTGCAGGCATCCCGGCGCTTGGTCTCGCCGTGCCGCGGCCTCTTTTCCGGCCTCTCCTCCGCACCACCGTTGCGCGGAGGCTCTGGGCGGCGCTTGTGTTCCCGATCTTCTTTGGACTTCTCCTCTGCGCAGCGACCGGGCCGGTGTGTCTCAGTATCTTAGGAAGCCACATGATCCACATGAGCCCACTAGAATCACCAACTATATACATCTATATACCGGTATACCAATATTATACAGTGGTTTCAGAGGTTCGATGGCGCAAAACCCTACATGACATTGTCTTAGACAAATGGGGGTCCGTTTTTGGACCACCTTTTTTGGGATTCTGCCAATCCACCGGTCTCAATTTTTGGTACGTCCGGCGAGGTTGATGAACATCCATTGGCTGAGACATGCTTATGCAAACACGTGACAAACTGCCACAAAGCAGTCGCCTGGCGCTTCGCCCTGACCAAACGCTTCGTCTGAAACACATGTGCTTCGCCGGAGAACGGTTGAAACATCGCTTCGCTCCTTGACTTCTTTTCCCTCCTTCACCTCTTTCTTTTGACCTTCCTTTGGCTTAGCCTTTGCATCCTCCTTGGCTTTCGCAGACGCTTTGGGTGGCTCTTTGATCTCCTTCCGCTCCTTGGACGGATCCTTGGGAGCATCTTTGGAGACATCTTTGGAGGCATCTTTGGGAACCTCCTTGGGCACCTCCTTGGAGACCTCTTTGGCATCTTTGGAGGTCTCCTTGAGGGCCTCTTTCGACAAGTCCTTAGGCGCTTCCTTTGGCTTGGGCGCAATCTTCGGCGTTGATTTGGCGCTCTCTTTGGCTTCCACCTTGATCCAGTTCTTGCTGCATGCCTTCAGCTTCACAGCAAGGGAGTTGGCCAAGGTCTTGAGGTCATTGGCCTTCTCACGGTCGCGGACATTCTCCACGCACTGAAGCACACCCCTGGCGTATCTCTCCAAGACAGGATAGCTATCACAGGACTCACTGAGGAGCAGCAAGGTGTTCCTCTTGTCGGACCAGTCTTCCGACGACTCCAGATTCTGCCGCAAGACCTTGTAGATCCGCCCCTCCCACTTGCTGTGACCTCGCACGATGTCCGCATGCTTAGCGAACTCAATCGTTGTCTCAACGTTGTTGGAGTCAAAGTGATGCCGGTGGAAGCATGGATTATCTTTCATCTCTTGCTCATAGGCCTTTTCACTCTTTCTCAAAGTGCACACATATGACATCATCTCTCGTAGGAGAAGGCCGCCTTGGAAGAATTCTTGTTTAGCTCAAAGATCTGTTCCTATGTACTAGAAAGAAATCTGCATGTGTTCCCATTCATCCTTGATCTCAGCCTACGTGTGGTCTTGCACTTGAACGGGGGGCAGCCGACCGAGGCACCAGCCGACCATCTTGAGCCGCTCGACCACTGGGCCCAAGATTCCAGCGGTTTTTTTGACACGGTCACCAGCTACAGCTACCAGCTGTTTTTCAGGGAAGGCACAGCTATGGCCACAAAGGATGGATGGGACACACTGTGCTTCACCCCAAGAAACAGTGAGCCCATGTTCACAAACCCGTCCAGGGGGATTTCCGATGGAAGGGGATAGAAATGGGTTTGTTCTTCTTGACTGCAATAAACAACCAGGGGCAAACAACAAAACAATGGTTTTGTGCAAAAGACAAGATGGAGCCCACGAGCCCGAATGCAAACACGTTCAAAAAGCTACATATGTCCAAATGACACTCTTGTAGGACACTCTTGTGGGACACTCTTGTGGGTCACTCTTGTAGGAAACTCTTGCGGGACACTCTTACGGGACACTCTTGTGGGACACTCTTGTGGGACACTCTTGTCGGACACTCTAGTAGGAAACTCTTGCGGGACACTCTTGTAGGACACTCTTGTGGGATACTCCTGTAGGACACTCTTGTGGGACACTCTTGTGGGGCACTCTTGTGGGACACTGTTGTAGGAAGCTCTTGTGGGACACTCTTGTGGGACACTCTTGTGGGACACTCTTGTAGGGCACTCTTGTGGGACACTCTTGTGGGACACTCTTGTAGGAAACTCTTGTGGGTCACTCTTGTGGGACACTCATACGGGACACTCTTGTGGGACACTCTTGTGGGACACTCTTGTAGGAGACTCTTGTGGGACACTCTTGTGGGACACTCTTGTAGGAAACTCTTGTGGGATACTCTTGTGGGACACTCTTGTGGGACACTCTTATGGGACACTCTTGTTGCACACTCTTGTGGGACACTCTTGTGGGTCACTCTTATGGGACACTCTTGTCGGACACTCTTGTGGGACACGCTTGTGGGACACTCTTGTGGGACACTCTTGTGGGACACTCATACGGGACACTCTTGTGGGACACTCTTGTAGGACACTCTTGTGGGACATGCGGGACACTCTTGTGGGACACTCTTGTGGGACACTCATACGGGACACTCTTGTGGGACACTCTTGTAGGACACTCTTGTAGGAGACTCTTGTGGGACACTCTTGTGGGACACTCTTGTAGGAAACTCTTGTGGGATACTCTTGTAGGACACTCTTGTGGGACACTCTTGTAGGACACTCTTGTGGGACACTCCTGTAGGGCACACTCTTCGTGCGAGACTTCCTCCAAAAGTCATGCTGCGAGGCTGCAAGACGAGCGTTTCGTACGAGACTTCCTCCAAAAGTCACGCGTCAAGTCTCAAAATCAAAAACGAGCGTTTCGTACGAGACTTCCTCCAAAAGTCACATGTCAAGTCTCCAAAATGAGCGTTTCGTACGAGACTTCCTCCAAAAGTCACATGTCAAGTCTCCAAAACGAGCGTTTCGTACGAGACTTCCTCCAAAAGTCACATGTCAAGTCCCCATAACGAGCGTTTCGTACGAGACTTCCTCAAAAACTCACATGTCAAAGTCTGCAAAACGAACGTTTCGCACGAGACTTCCTCCAAAAGTCCAGCAGAAACACCCATCGGAGCACACACATCACGCAGCCCTGCCAAGCAGTTTCGCGATTCCAGCCCCTCCAAACGACACCCGCTCACACGCCAATCCCAATGTGACAGCGACATTCACCTCTACCACAACTCACAACCTCCCGATTCCCTGCGCCTGCCACGAAAATCCCACTTCCACACCTCAAAACCCGCACAAAGTCCTGCGCCTGCCACGAAAAGTACTGTAACAATGTCATCTCATGTGAGCTTCAACAAAATTTGCACCGCACCACACGCTTGGAATGATTTCGCCCCGTTCTGAGCACACTCCCATCCACCAAAATCGGCATTTCAGCTAAGACTTGTCACGAAAACAGAGCTTCGATGCCACACCCTGAAACGCAACTCTCAAAAACACGACTCTCCAAACGCTAATCCCAATGGAACTGCGCAGCAATCTGCAGATCTCACCAAACGCTGCGCCTGTGCAGCGAAACGCATCACGTTGCTTGCGCGACATGTCTTTTTCATGCAAATCACAATGGAATAGCGGCGCAAGCTGACACGTGACACATCCATGAAAAGTCACTTGCAAAAGCTTCCCCCAATGGCAGCGCCTTAGTGCTCTACCGCAAACGGTTGCGAACGGTTGCGGACGGTTGCGGACGGTTGCGGACGGTTGCGAACGGTTGCGGACGGTTGCGAACGGTTGCGGACGGTTGCGAACATAGAAACAACGGGTCGCGAACAAGGCTCCACCCCCAGACCCCCAAGAGTTAAACGAGAACCCTTCGCTACGCATTCGGGAACAAGTGGTGAACATCTTCCCCTCATGTCCCAGAAGTTTGGGCCAAGTTTGGGAGATATTCGATATTGTTCAATTGTGCCATGTCACTGTTCTTTTTGCAGGGGGGGCTTGTTGGCCCATGAAGGGATCCATGTGAGCAAAAAGAAGTTTCCCACTGATCTATTAGAGAACCAAATCATTAAGCCTTCTGCGTCGGATCTGTATTAGCTACTTGTTAGCTATTACTACTTACCCTCTACTACTAGCTATTTAGGCTTATTACGGCCCACTCCCTGGCCTTAAGAATAACAATCATGTGTCACTTGGGATGAATTCTTGGCCAAGCTTCAGATCTGTGCCTCCCGCTCAGTGCAGGAGCGCAAGTTCATGCACAACATCAGTGTCCAGACGTTGTAGAAATCTAAAAAGAGGAAACCAGAGGTCTTCATCCGGATGAGGAGACGAATGAACTTACCTAGGCCAACGAAGATTTTTCTTCCCACCTACTACTACAGTACTCTTCAAACAATGTGATTTGAAGGCCTTTACAAGTTAAAACAATACAGTACACGCAGATATGCGAATAATATATATATATATAACTATGTATATATATATATGTACACATATATGAAGCGCACTAAGGATTTGGAAGGAACCCAAGAAAGCAACCGACACTGATATGGGAACTCCAAAATTGCCAACCGAACTAGCAAGTGACAGCAAAAGAGAGCGTCAGAATAAGACGTGAGTGCCTCAGCTGTCGCAAGATCGTCAAACCAAAAGTAACACCAACGACGAAAAACATCGCACATAGAACAACAATGCAAATCCTCAAACTAATACCCAACACGGAATAGCTCGCAATTTCAATCGCCTTGAGAACCATGCAAAGTCAAAAGACAGCATTCATGCACTAGCAAACTTGCACTGAAATGGACAAGCAACCCTACAGGTCGAAATGATTATGACAATGACTCATGACCATTTTTGTATCACTTTGAAATTCAAGAGCCGCAAAAGCCTCAAATTGTCCAACCACCCCCAGAATACACCAAGGTTGACAGGTGTTGCAGCGAATCACAGGTCCCTCTTACATTCCCTTACCTGTCCCAAGAAACTCAAAATCATGGCAACAATATTGGTTTGTAACATGATGCCACTGATCTCCCCCAACTTTCGTAAACCACATCATATCACCACGAATCGCCGCACCACTTCATTCGCCCACACACCTGACCACCTCAGCAGATTTCCAACCTTTCCACCTCATCCGGACCCCATCCCCACCTAGCACCGCCATGGCACTCGTGGCATAATCATCTCTGCCACCATCGCCTGTGTAGCCTCTGGGGACTTCTTGAGGAACCAGCCGCCCTTCTCCAACTCCAAACGCGCAAGGACCTAACAAATTTGAGAATCCATGGTTCCTCATCCACCGAGAATCAGGGATTCATCCAAAGTCATCCCTCAGAGTTCTTTATTTGGCAGAATGATGTTATTTCTTCCGTTCTATGACAGTTGTTCATTGGGCGCGAGGGAGGTACTTGGGCAGCATCCTATTCTGTATATATATATATACACACAGTGAACTAGATAGTACCAGTACCATTACAGCACATCACAGCTGCTTGCCTCCACCTGCCTACTCACCGTCTTCCGCAGCTTGGATCCAAAGCATGTTAAACACCTACCAACGTTCTGTGGATTTAGCATGAGAAAGGGTTGTCATCTCATCATGCTATCAAAGGAGCACCAGGAACTCTCACCAGAAACACTCCTCGAAAAGATAGATGCCCCAAGGATCCCAAGGCACCTTCTCAAAGTTCAACTTCTGCTGAAGTTGCTCTTCCTTCACCTTGTCGTAGGCCTCTTTTTGTCTCTGCAAGTTCCGCACCACCGCCTTGTATTCCCGGCCTTGGATTTGCTGGAGAGATCAGGTGAACAAACGAACGGAACACATGATTTGCCATTCCAGGATCCTGTGGAGACATTGTGGCAAACACATGCAAATGATTGCAAATGCAAGAAGGTCCCACTAAGACCTCCTAAGCTCTCTCTTCGCTAGCCCCAGCGGCTGTGGGTGTCCGGGCTGTACTTCCGATCCAGCTTGGCCTTCGAGTCCTCGAAGCTCCGCTGACCAGACTGGATCCGGTTCAAGACCTTCTCGTAGCCTTCGGTCGGAACGAAGATGTCCTGAAGACGAAAGTCTCATGGCCACTGCATCAGCTAGCTGGTCTCTGGGCATCAACCAGAAACGAAAGTTGGCCAACTAATTGTCGTCTATCCCGAACACAACCGTTGCATGCACCACGACTCTCACCGTCCTGCAAGGAAAGCCGCCAAAAGGTGACGTAAAAGTCCATGGACAAGCCATCCTCCTCTATGGGGCGTGGCAAGCACTTCTGGGCAATGCCCAACAACTGCTGCTGCAGCTCGACCTCCTCTGGAGTATGCACCTTGGACTTGCAAAGCAACAGCATCCATGGGGGATCATGGGGGTACGCTTTGGGAGGAAGACATTGTATTTCTTGGAAATACCCGTTGCAGATTCACCCGACAGATACTTACACAAATAGACATCTCTGCGGCTATCGTCTTGGCCTGAGTTCAGGCTCCGTGTTGTTTTTCGGGACATCCCATCATCCATCCAATAGGCCCAAAACATCGCCTGAAAACATCAGAACGTTCTTGGATCTTCTGGAGTTGAACTATTAAAGTTGGGACCCTCCCCAAATCCTTGAGAACTTGGAGAATTTGGAAAACTACAGACTAAGACTCAAGACCATCTGCAAAAACCACCAACGTGCTTTTCAGCCAGAAGATTTCCCAGCCAGGTCACCATCGCCTTGGCGTCTGCCTTGGCGCCATGCGCCACGCCTCGTGCAAAGGGCAGCAAGCCGGGCCGGAGAGCAGCGTACGCTAAAGGGGGCTCCAAGATGCCGAAGATCTGCTGAAAAGGTGGAACTAACTTGATGTATCTCTCCTGAAGCAGAAGGGGGGCGGGGGGGCGCGCTTCAGACTAGTTGTTTGTTGAAGCACCAAGTAGATACAGCTCCAATGATCATCTGGAATCATGCACGTAGATGTATACGTCTCTCTCCGGATGATGATGTTGTGAAACGTGGGGGTGCCCTTTTTGTTGGCATAAAACATGCGCATGGAGAGAGGCAAACAACTGAGGTGGAAGTGTGGAGGAGAATCTGATCAAGTATCAATCAAATTGATGGTAAATGGAAGAGGCTACAAGACCTAATCGAACATTGACAGGTTCGAGTAGCAATGGACAGGGTGGAACAAGTTGCGATTCCCTTCTCATCATTCCTGTGGGAAAAATGTTAAATTGCAACTAGTCGGTCTGGGGAAAGAAATCGCACATGTTGTTGATAGTCGCCTTTCGTTCCATCACATTTCTTTGCATCCTTGGAATGTGTGGAGGGACAAAAAACAATCAGAGCAATGCCAGGCTTCCCTCGCAGAAGCCTGAGACAGAAAGTCGATCAGGCTCAGGAAGCAATCCTGACTCCCATCAATGAGCTGACAAAGCAACTTTAGCGCGCCCTCGCCGCTGTTCACCTCTGAGAAGCTCTCCGAGAGGAAATAGAGGCGCTGCTTGCTAAGGCAGTCCCACAAAGCAGTGGCCAAACCCAAATCAACGATGCTATCCATCAAGGCCTTCTTTGTCCTTTCCTTTCGCTGAGGATCGGGTCGTGTCCCCACCGAGACGGACTCCAAACGCAAGCGTGGGCCGCCCGCTAGGCACACCAACTGCTCTGCCGTCAAATCTTTCACCACCTTGGAGTTGGAGGCATTGGAGGGATCTGACGATAAGAGCAAATTACCCAACATTTGTAGGATTCTTGGAGAGGAAAATCAGGAGTACGTACCTCTATTGGCCTCTACTTGGGCAAGGCGGAATGGACATTTTCATTTGGGATTGTCCAGTAGAACAACTCTATGAAAAAGTATTGAACAGTAATACACCATTAGATCAGCAAACTTCGAACATCAAACATCCTATTTCTGTTGTCAACTCCCTTACTGGGCCATCGACTGTTGAAGAAGGCAATCCTTTATTTCAATCGTTCAATTTCCTCCCTCAAGACTTCCTCTTTTGCTCTTCCCCTCTTTTTTGGCAGCGTATGGCCAACAGAACCTGCGTTCAGCAAGCCCACCGCTTCCTCTGAGTGAGTAGTTTGCAAGTGCCTTTCTGAACAAATGGATTAAAGGCAAGCAAATTGCTTCTGGCTTGTCGGCTTGTCATTTAAGTATTGTTGGACGAGACCCTGGATGCTGCCCGCACTTGGTTTTCTTTCTCAATCCCTTGAATCTTGGACATTCTGGTCCATTGAAGAACTGTCCAATGATCCAACCTAATTATTACTAAACATATCTTAGTAGCAGTTTACCCAAAAATCTAGGAGCCAAACTATTATATAAGGCTCATTCTTCAATGAAGGCCCCCGAGCCCCCAGAAGAAGCCTGTGTCCTTCTGTGTCCAAGGCCAAGAAGGAACATTCATGCCGTAACATATCCCTACTCTTGTTAGCTTACTTAAGCCTACTACAGTAGCGGCTAAATGGCCTACCCCTCCCGGGACTAAAGACAGAACATGAGAATATGCTGCTGTCTCAGCTACGATGAGACCACCCATGTGCTCCATGAGCTTCTCCAGAACCACCCGGATCAAGGATTCGCCCTTGAACTTCTTCGAGGATTGTCGGGCGGCGCCTCCAGCTGTGTGAACATCAAGCGTGTTCATACGGACGATTACAGTCCTGTAAATGCGGCAAAATCATCCTGGGTTCCCCGGTCCTGTTTTGGGAAGAAACAAGCACATGAGGCTGGCCTTTCTTCTGAAAGACAAATTGATGGACAATGTCACAGACTCTCGTCTGTGTTGGCGTCTTTAGGTCTTAGCAACATCTTTGACTTTGCAGAATTCATCTCCTGGTGGCCCACCTGGCTTCGCAATGTCTTTCATCTCCGGAATGTCGTTCATCATCCGCCGAGCCACCACAGTCAAAATCCCCACCAGGTTCGTCTGCGGATGCTTCTTGTAGAAGCGACCGATGAAGTCTGAGAAGTTGCTCAGCCAAGGCGACAAAAACCCGTCAGCAGGGTTCAGGAACGTCCTGTGAAGCGAATGACACAAACCATGGACGGGTCACAAAAGGCAGGGTGTGGTGGTCTGGTCCAAGCAATGCCAAATGAGACCTCTGGAACATCATACAACATCAAACAAAGACACCAACTGACCCCAGCAGGATCTTCAAACTATACCGCACGAGGACTCGAAGCTTTTCACTAGTTACATCTAGTTACTATATACATTCTTCTTTTGGGGGGGATGGCGTTCCTGGAGGCCATCTTCCTGGGCCAAACCGGCGGCCGCTTCCCACGGTCACCCTCCGCCGCTCCTGGTCTCCGAGGCTGGACGCTCGCAGTTCCGCGCCAGGACGTAGCCCACCACGTCGGTCATCATCTCGGAGCAGCGCTGGGTGAGGTCCACGTAGGGTTGGATCATGTTCACGTTGAAGCCTCACGAAGAGCGGCTGCTCACACGAAGAGCTTGGCTGGGATTTGGATGGATGAGACGAAGCAGGTGAAACTTGGAAAGAAGGAAGATGATGGGAGTGCTTTGCTTTTTGCACAAATAGCTTTTGATGGGAATCGAGAAGGCAAATCTTCTTAAACATGGAAGAACAGGGCAAAGACACCATTGCGTTACCTAGAAGCCAATCTCAATGTCCTTCAACATCACCTCCACAATGGGAATGGGATTGGTCTGGCACAACTGACAAAAGGCCGGACTGGGCTTGTAAGAATTGGGGTCATCTCGATCTCGGTCTCTGTCAGACTTGTCGCTGGAGACAACTCGCTTCAAGATCTTTTTAGCCTCAAACTTGGCTTCTTCGTAGCTGTACTTCAGCATGAACTGGTTGTACTTGGTCTCCCAACAACTGTAGATAGTATAGCGCTGAAAGACGGTAAGTTGCTTCAACACATTCCAAGCCATATTGCTCAGCCATGGGCATGGTTTGGCAATAGAGATGGCCGGCAGTAAATGCTTGAAAACCACTGCCACCAGCTTGTCATCCAGGACCTTGTTGGAGAGTGCGGCACTATTTGCGGACGCTGCCGCCACGGGATTGCTCGCAGGAAGATCCTTCATGGACAGCGCCATGACCTCCCAGAGATTGCCCATGAGAACATTGTCCGTGTGGAGATAGAACTCCAACTGGTCCAAGACCTGTTTGGCCGCAGGTAGAAAGTCCTCCACATCTTTGGCCTGTCGAAGGTACAAGGGCACAGCAGCGCCTTCACCTGGGGAGCGAAGGCTCAGAGACCCAATCTTTGAACGCTTGAACATGTGTGATCTCGGAAAACAAATGAAAGGAACACATCTCTCTCACAAGCACTTTGACCATTGACTGTGATGAGATCCTTTTCAGCATGAGCAACACGGCAACACCCAAATGGATGAGAATCGTACCTCCACTCCACTCCTTCTTTCCCTTTTCTTTTCGGGAGTCCTGCACTCCGTTCGCCCCAACAGCCCACCTTCTTGCAATGACGCACCCCAGTGGAAGCGCCGCTCCTTCTTGTAGCCACCCTGACTGGTCTTTGGGAGCAAGGGCTCCACGATCCACTTCAGCAAATCACACAAGGCCGAGCGCAGGTAGTGGTTCATGCAAGGCCGGCAAATCTTCCGGAGATGGGTGAGCATGACGCAGGAGTTCTGCCAATCGTTAATGCTAATCATCGCCTCCACGAGGCGGATCTTCTGATTCAAGAGCTGGTTGAACTGCTTCACACAGCTATTGAATTTGAGCTTGTCCTGATGGGACCCGCAAGCCTTTTGCGGACAAAGGTTGAAATCCGACAAAAGTCGAGAACGGTCCGATTCGCACGGTGATGCATCACATTTAAACTGATGGAATACGACTGAAACACCCTAGGAAACTTTGCAGGGTGGCACCTAAAAACAATCTAATTATAAGATCATCATACAAGTATTATTTGTATAAAGATGTATTACAACATGCAGTCAGTTTGATGCACTCGTGTGGGTTTCTCCACCTTTAACTTTGAAATCTTCAGTGCAGCCTCTTTTGCCCAAACCTCTCCCGCGCTAGGTTGGATTTCCCAGAGAGGTCCACCACGGAGACGGTCTTCAACTTGGCCTCATATCTTCTCAAGAGCATGTAATAGGCCTCATGAATCTTCCTCTCATTGGGCTCCAAGTACGTCCACAAGACCCTTAGATCGATGATCTTCTGCGAGACTAAGGAGGCCATCGCAAGGAACTGGGAAAACCTTGGAGGAACACTGCGACATGAATGCAGGATTTGTGCAGTGTACATTCGTCTGCGCTGCATGCGGTGCATGCATTCGTGCTGTGTGGAACTGGCAAACATGACACCATGGCATAGCTCAATCCAGACTAGCACAGCTGATACATGTGTGAGCAAACAAAGATAATTACTGCAACACAACACTCCTCGTTGTCTTTGTGGGTACAAAGCACTATGAGATGAGATGAGACACATATAAGTTCAAAGGGTTATCCATGCGCAGGGGAGCCTCGTTTTATGTTCAGAGGGTGATCACCCGTTCTTCCCTTTACAGTCAACGGGTGATCCTTCCGGCGCACATGGGACAATGCACATGGGTCAATGGGTGCGCGAAGTCCGTTTCCTTTTGACACTCTCTCCGCCTGTGAGGACAGTGCAGGTATTTACAGAACAATGGACTTTCATGAACACAAGATTCACGAAAAGGAATGACTCAACCACCCATGCCGGCCCATACCACGCATGGGTTTTGGGCGCCTCAAGTTTTGCTCTGGCTTGGCATCCTGCTTGGCATCCTTCCCAGCTGGGATAGGCGGACAGCTGCTCAGTAGGAAGGCGGCGACCTTGGTGATGCGCTCCTTGCTGAAGCGTCGCAACAGGGAAACCAAGGCAGCAGGCCGTTTGCTGGGCTCTTCCTCCTCCATGAGAAGCTTCCTGGGCATTTTCTGATGAGAGCGGACTTGGAAGAACAGACCAGTAGTGTATATATGTTCATGCTCATGGTGGACTCATGCTTTATATGTGATATTCACATTCTGTATCCCCTGTAGTTCTATTCAAAGGGTATGTTGGAAGAAAGGACCCCAGGGAACTGACCTTGCGCAATTCCAGGCTTCTCATAGATGTCAATTGCCATCGCAATGATCCGGTTGGGACACAAATAGCTGTGTCCAATTAGTAACATCACATCATCGATGACGCTCTCTCGAATCTTTGTGAGCTGGTCTGCAGTGCCCTGGATGTCACTATCCAAATGGATAAGTCTGTCTACCTCAATAGCCGTGCAGCAAAATGCGGGCATACAATGTACAGTCATAGGTTAACCTTGAAGTGGAGAGAAACAACAAATAAAACGATAAACAACATGCTGCATGTCTACAAAAAAGCACGACACCACTTTGCACTATCTGATATTTTTTTTAGCTCAGCGCTTAAACAAACAGAACGGTTACTTCGCTCAATGCTTTCCGTCCCTTCAAATCAGTACGTAGGCGTTGTAGGACAAACTTGTGAATGTCAGCCAAATCCTCTGAAGGGACACCTTACTTTCCTGAGGTGGCTTCAATTCAACCATACTCCAGGGGTTTGCCCAGGTACGTACATCATCAATCTGGCGTAGCCTTCATTGTGCTCCCGGAGCAAGTTGAACCTTGTCACGGTGTAGCGAGCTTTGGTCTTCGCCTGTCAGGTTTCAGAGGTCACCGATTTGTGTTTGTCCTTTCAACAGCTGCAATTTCATCTTGAATGGAATTGTACAGTATCTAGAAGCTACAGTAAGATGGCTCACGGCGACCTGAAGTGCTCTTGATCGATTTTGATTGCTTTCTGATGGAAGCCAAAGACTCAACTTCCCCACACATTCACCCTCAACATCCTGATTCTGCTTCTTCCGCAGCAGCGCAGTGTTGCAAACAGTGCTGGGGACCGTCTCGGTCTCCAAGCCCCCAGCCAGGATGGGTTTTGAGATCACCCTCTCCCGCTCCAATTGGCAGCAAAGGTCGTTGAACTTATCCTTCAGCGAATCGGACAAGCGATGAGAAACGACAACCGAACAACTAAGTGAACATAGACTAAACCAACCACTGGTAGTTGGCCATACCCCCAGCTTGGAGAAACCAAACACCAGGATGGTTTGGTTTAGAAACGCCTTCTGCGAACTCTTGCAATCCATCAATTTACATGGTGGTCCTATGGTTTGTTTGCCTATCTATCGTTGGTTCATCTTCTTCACTTCACTTGTATAACCTCAGAAAAACGTGAGACAATTCACCAACCAAAATTGAGGATAATTAGTCCAGACCGACAACCCGGACCATTGTATTTCAATCATCCATCTGATTTAGGAAACAATATCAACAACAATTCACAACATCTAGATTTCAGGCATTTTATTGATTTCAAACAACATCTGAGCGGTTGAGCTGACTTGTCAGCTTTTCCACATTTCAAGCAAGATGGTCTTGAGCAAATTCACTCTGCCACAATATCTTACGAGAAACCATACCATGCCCAAGAGAATGAGGTGACCAGATCGAACCCTTAGCACCTCCCATACACACGCAAGTCGAACTTCAAGCAACAAAAAGGAGCAAGTCGAGCCGAGAGCAAGAGCCAATATAGCCAATAGTGTGCAAGACCGAGCCAATCGTATGGTCATTTTGCCGATGCTTGGGTCACACCGATGGTCTGCCGGTGCTGCCGAGTTTCCCTGGCTTCCTTGGTGTTACTCTCGGTGGCCGCGAAACCCGCCAGCCACAAGGCATCCACCAGGACTTGTTGCAAGGACTCCTTCTCAGGATGTGATTTCTGGTTCCAAACAAATGATCCCAAATCATCTCAGCCGGCATGAAAATAGGACGTCCGCTCGGCCGTTGACAAGAGCCACTTCTAGGGATTGAACAGTTGGGTCTGTCTGAAATGAAACTCTTTTCGGCTGGGAAAAATTATTCCTTTGCAGTTCCATCTTTGATTGGAGTCGCGAGTCGCGGGCATTGGAATACGAGAACAAAAGCAGGCAACATGCCATTGCACTTAGATGGTTTCCATACTGTGCGTATTCCGAGAATTACTTGCTGTATGGGAATCACCTACCTACATCTACCTACCAAAAATCAGCTTGCTAGTTGCCGCTGGCGAGGCCAACCCAGGGCGAGCTAGTGGCAATAATAAAACACAATAAAGCAATGGACAACAACGACGGAAAGCATAGAGCACTTCATCAGAGGTTTGGGCTTCATGGTGAGAAACAACACATGGATTGCTCTTCAAATCCACCAATTTCGTTTTCTGCTTTTCTTTTCTTTTTCTTGCTTTTTGTTTCATTCACAACCGGTCAACCGCTCCTTGGAGGAAATCGGCGCCAAGAGTTCCGCCGCGCTTTTGGCCTCCACCTGACCTGATGTCATCGGCAAAACCGACTGACGCGAGCGAGCGCCTCCGCCTTTCGGTTGGTCCCCAGAGGTTCTTCGATTTCGTTTTGTAATACTTTTTTTGAACATATCATGTGGGTGTGTATTTTGGTAGGACGATATCAACGTTGGTCGCAAGTTGTGGCAGTGTATTTTGGTAGGACATATCATATCATGATATATTATATATATTTGATTATATTTGTATTTTGTGGATAGGGCGACCCCCAACCAATTGGCGTTGGCCCATGAAACCTTCTTCCGAGAGGTCGAACTGGGAGGTCTCCCTATGAATAAAAGAACACCCATGTCAATGTAGAGGATGGTCAATGTGATGCCATTGCGGCCAAAAAACCATCCTCTAATTCTAGAGGCTAGATCCAAAATTTCTGACCTGGCGGTGTGGATGGGTGGCTGAACCCATCACTTTTGGAGGAAGAGTCCATTGTCAAGGGAGACCGTACTTCCATAGAATTTGAAGAGTTTGAAGTTCATTTTCTCAACCAAACATGGCTATTTTTGGAGAGAGTTTTTGCGAAGTACGGTCTCACCCAGTTTCACACTTCATGAACATCCTCCCAAACAACAACCCTTCTCGACACCTTGCTACACAACCTATACCGCCAAGGTCCCATCACCAGGCCCATTCCCCCACCTGTGAGGACGGAGTTCACCACCTCCAACAACTGGTCATAGATTCGGTCACGCTCCTCCTCTGCCGTCATGGCGCAAGACCGCCCGGTCGTGTGGGGCGTCCGGACGCCTTTTCGGCGTCCAGAGGCGTCAATCGATGTCACATCAGTGTGGGTCACGTGGTCAGTGTGATGGCAGGACCTCTCGAGGTGCTGGGCGTCCACTGGAGCTGAAAGGGTAAGCATGAAACATGGCTGATTTAGAACGATGTGCAGACTTGTGACAGCATCTGGTCCGTTGTCGCATGTCAAAGTGAATGCCTTTGTCATCCTTTGTCCAAATTGGAGCCAAAAGGAGCAGGAAGAGGTAGGGCTGATGCCCAACTGCCCAACGCGCACTTTTTGCTGCACTTCCATACATTCTAGACTCCCGGTGTCCCTTCTTCAAAGCGGAATGACACAGGATGGCAGGTCGTGTCTTCCTACAACTAAGCCTGGACGGAGACTGTTTTGCGCCTTGCTGAAATACATGGAACATGAATGAACCCTTCAGAACTTAAATGGATCCCACCACAGACTATCCTGGACTATCCCGCCTTGTCGTAACCCACCACAGATCCGCGTTTGAGCTGTGCTGCAATGGACCTTAAAAGACCCCCGGTAGGATGAGATGGGCAACAAGCTGTGTGGTCTTGGTAGCTGATGAAGCCAAGGTGGACTCAATCAGCTTTCACCAAAAGCTTCAAACTGCAGGTGAGAGTGAAGGGATAAACACACGCCTGACATATTCAGCTGTTCGCAAGGAGGGATCTCAGTGTGTTCTCTGGAACCCTGGAACCCCTGGTGACCAATTGCAATCGATTCCATAGATTTCACTGCTGGGCAGCCCCACTCCAGCATCGGCTTCAGCGCGGGGTTACGATGAAGCAACTCGGCATAGGAATCCATCCCTGCCAGGGTGAAGCACAGAAAGTGCAAACTGGGACAAAAGTACCGAACGTGTTTTTACTTCTTTTTTTTGGCCATGACTCTGAACCCCGCAGATTTAGGAGAGGCAAACAATGGCAAACATATCTTACAATTCATAATAGTAACAGCCCCCCCTGGTAAGCATTTTCAACTATTCTGCTCATGACGATGTTCACCCAGGTACCGAGGGTGTATACCAAGTGTTTGATCCCCAAGCCGAGCAGAGATTGGGTCCATGAAGGTCGAACATGCTTCGGAGATCAAAATGCAACAGCATGGCAATGATTCTGAGTCCACTCCTGGGTTTCCCACTGCTAAGGCAAACAGCTAAGGCAAATATTCTATAGATCTAGTCAGTATTCATCTATATTATCTAGTCATATCTATACCGTATACATCGCATCCGTATACACATCTTCTGTTGGTGTCTATCATTCGCGATTGATGCCTGTCTTTGGGAAGCAAAGGAGAGCTTCTGCCCCGAATGTCCATTAGAACAAAGCTGGTCACATTGGACCCAAAGAGTGTTCAACTGCATGCAGGATCACTCGGCTTTTTTCCGCCTCGCTCGTAGGACTTGCACAGGGTGGACCACATATTGGTGAGCTCTTTTCGTCTGTACCTCGGCAACTTGGCCACGCCATTGTGAAGCGGTTTTCACTGCGCCAACGTCACGTCGTGTCCAAGTTGCAACGAGAGCTAAAGGACAAACTTTTGATACAACCCCTTTGTTATCCAGGATATTGAAATGAACCTTTCTTCATCATTCTCCAATTCCAGGAACCAAAGCTCAAATGAACAAAACCTGGGTATATGCCCCAGAATGGCATCATATCGCATCTAGTTAACTGGTCGTGTGAAGAACAACATCCACAAATCCACTCATGAACGGCAAACGGTTCCTATTCAAGCTGACACTTCACACGCAATGTATCAACTATATACACGTCTTCTGTCGTCTTCAGCCCAAAGAACACCTTGCTACACACGCTTCAGGTTTCCATACTCGGTGTTCCTATAAATCAGAAAAACCTTGGGTTTGGAGCGGGAACTTCCACGTATTCCTCTCATTTGTGTCTCATTTGCATTATGCCCGGCCCTGTTTATACTACGCAGAGCCACTGACGTCCAGTAGGTCAGTAGTGAAACCAGCCAGGAGCTTGGAGGGAATTACAAACCAAACACCAGCTCCTTGACTTAGAACATAAGAACTGCACACAGCCCGGACATACACCACCACTCTTGTATCAGGATTATCAGGATCATTCATTGCCATCTCCAGCCTAGTCCCCGCATGACACCGAACGTATACAGTGCTAGCCTGTGATTTCCTCAAAAAAGAAATAGGTTTTCCTTTTCTTCCCAAGAAGCCCTGATTGTCCAAACCCATTATGTACTCGTGCAAACCTGTGAAAAGATCGCAGGTTCATCATGGGTTGGTGGCATGGTTTTGGATAGGTGTTTGATGCCAAGACCAGGAACTAGTTGCCAACTTGATGGTGCTTCACCAGCTTTGACTGTAAGGGAGCCTGCGCCACTTTTGGCATAGATATACCCATGTTCAGTGTTACCATTTCCCAAACGTTGAACTCGTGCTGTTGCATCACTGTCTGCACGCACCAATTACAAATTCGCTAGGAGTGAACAGGCACCAAAAAATATCTACGTTGGCTCCTCCGTTTCAAGTGTCTTGCGGTCTTGCTGTCTTACATCAGTCTGTAACTGATCAAAAAGTAACTGAAATCTGAAAAGTGCAAACCCCGGGGTTGAAATCGAAACCTTGCATATTCTCGAGACAAATTAGTCTAAGTATATTTTTACATCTATATAGTTATATACTTATATAGTTCGCTTCTTTAAAGTATGTGTATGGTCCTCCGATTCGCCGACGTGCTTTCTCGTCCATCTCGTCTCAAAAACCTCGATCGATCTCCCTCCCGAGGCCCCGAGGCGCAGGTTGAACATGTAGAGCGCGAAGAGATCGGCACAGGCCCGGTGATCGGCCTGCATGGGCACGGGTCCGTCCAGGTCAGAGACCGAGGTCCTGCTATGTGGTGAGGGTTTGACCCACGGGTTTGGCCGGATCCAACGGAGACAAAGGACAACGCTGTTAAAGTATGTGTTGAAGTTAATGTCCAATCATACTGATCGATGGTGACAGTGCGGTAAACAAATCTTTAGCCCCAAAACTTGGGCTGTATTTGATGGCACCCCCAACACCATGGTCAACAAGGTTTTTTTTCCATGTTGTATGAGGAGCTACTGGCGACGACAATAGCCTCCATCATCCATCATCACGTTGACTTCACGTGCAAAGCCCCTTTCTTCGGCTTGGCTTCCCTGCCGTGGGCAAAGGCCATGCACGGTTGCGGACCTCCGTGCCCTGCGGCAATGCGTTCGGAGGGTGCCAAGCTGGATGAACCAGTTCTGGGAACCTCACAGGCTCATGAATAATGGTACTGGGTTGGAAGGATTTGGAAGGAATATATACTATAGTGGCATGGCAGCATCACCTCAGATGTCGACTCATAACCCAGTATGTGCCAGGTCTTCCTTACGGTGCTTTTTGCGACCTGTATCCTTGGGTCTCCAAAAACCTTCAAGCGGATAATGACAGGGAGCAAGCACTTCAGCACTTGACGCTGATGGTTCACCTTCGGACTAATGTGCTGAATCATGTTGCAAACTCAGATGCTTGATGATCCTTGCTACATCTTGCTGCTGTACACGTTCCACGAAATCGATTTGGTGCCCCGCATTCAAGCATGTGAACGTGGGGTCCACCTCATATTCATCATCTACAAATGTGTTTTTTTGATTCCCCCGACCTCGAAATGTTCAATTGGAAACGATTGAAATGTTCAATTGGAAACGATTGAAGTCAGGGCCTTCAATGGAACTGAGGCAAAGGGTGGGGCGAAATGGACTTTGCTGTATCAAGCGACAGAGTCTCGGCCCTCCAAACCCAAGGGAGCTTCATGGAGCTTCCACCACTGAAGTAGCACAAGCCGTCATTTCAATCGCGTGGCTCAGAAAGAAGGTCACACATCTTTTCCTTCTGTAGACCTTTAGACTACAGTCATATCTTTTGACACACATGATCAACATCTCTATCCTCAATCTCTGGGAGTTCCCGAAGGGCAGCTCTTCCCAGGCCACCGAACCGCCATCATTGATCCCTTCGTAGAACCTAAGCCCAGTCCCCATCGCGGGTTGGCGCGTGCGGGGGGGGTTGACAGGCGGAAGGTGAATGATGGAACCTCCGCATTGGAAATACTATTCGAAGGTGGATTATTCGAAGGTTGACAGGTGGAATTCGATGATGGTGGATTCATGGAAAGATTCATGGAAATGCCAACCTTCAAATTGCTAAGCCTACAAAGAACAAGGCCTTCGGAAAGCCTGCAACTTGGAACTCCCAGCACATCAACACACCACTGATGAAGAGAGTCAAAGAGTCCTGCTTAGTGGATTCATATAATTATTGCTACATACTGCTACCATCAAATATTTCCACTCACTTCCAAGTACACTTCCAAAGAACATCACACAACATCACACAACCCACTCCATCCGCTTCATCTGCTTATGTGTCCGAAGCACCTAATCTAAGCTCCCATGACCGCCCCACCTCCCGCCAAGACGCCCATGGTCGAGTTCATGGTGCCGCGCGTCGGCGAGTGCGCCGGCGAGGACCTGAGACGATGAGATGCATGGCGTGGAGCCCACGTGTTGGACTGCAAGAAGTGGCTGAACCATGCTGAACAAGAACCGAGTGGTTGGATCCTTTTGGGACCCATTGGGATCCTGTCACTGAGAATCCTCAAAGCAATGGAAAGGGACAGGATCCAAAGATCATGCCCTTGACACTGGTCAGCCGCAAATGGACGAAGACCACGGGCCACTCGGCACCCAACGCATTTGGTTTCATCGTCGTGTTGCCTTCGCCGCCCAAGTACCTTGCAGAGAAAAGGTCTTCTGACTGAAGAACCCTTGGTTCAAGGCTCATTTGGAGTCATCACAATCTCTCGCACACAAATGTGTCAGGACGATTCAATTGTAGGAACATCGGCAAATGAAATCCACATGTACAGGGGACTTTTTGATCTTTTTGGTTTAGTCGCATCATAATACCTGTACTCAACTTCACACGGAATGTTACTGTATGCTTGCTGTATCTTTTGAAGACATTTTGGCGATGCAAG